CATATCCCCACTGTGAAGGACTTGTAGCCTCGGTTATAACGGCTACCCGATTAGCCACAAATGTCTTGAACCGCCTGCTAGTGTTGTTAATGTATTTCAGGACTGTTTGGCTATCAGTCCAAAAGTACGTCTCATCTACTCGGTCCAACTCCTCTTCTAACATTTTAGCAATACGAACAGCCATAGTGGCTGCCGTAAGCTCTAACCTAGGTATTGACAAATGCTTTAGAGGTGTTACTCTACTTCTTGCCAATACTAGGGAACAGTGGATAGCTTCATTGATATCTTCTGATCTTATGTATGCCACCATACCATAGCCATTCTCACTGGCGTCAGCTGGCATGAAACCAGCTTGCCAAAGGATTTAGGTGTGTAACATCTGGGCATACTCCACTCCTCCAGTCTTGGCAACTCTTCTAACCACTGTTTCCACCTCACTAAGTCGGTTCCTTCTATTTTGTCATCCCAACCAGCTCCCTTACGGCAGAGCTCCTGCAATATGAATTTTGCTGGTAAGATGAATGGTGCGGCTAATCCAAGTGGATCAAACACGGAACTTATAATTGAGAGAAGACCTCGCCGAGTATTTGGTTTAGTCATAGTCTTGATGTTAAAGCCAAACTTGTCAGTTTCCGCCGACCAATACACACCCAGTGCCCTTTCATTAGGTAAGACATCCTGGTTTAAGTCCAGTTCTTTGAATGCAGGAGCTCGCTCATCCAAAGGAATTGATTCCAGCACCGATCTATTGTTGCTGATCCATTTTATCAGTCGGAAGCCTCCATCTGCACAAAGCTCTTGTAGCCCTTTGGCTAGGTTTACTCCTTCTTCTTCACTTTCGACAGACACAAGGCAATCATCAACGTAAAAGTTGTTATGTATAGTATGAGTTACCTTCTTGCTATATTTGTGCTGGTTGTTTTCTGCTGTCTTCTTTAGCGCTAGATTAGCGCTTGCCGGAGATGACGTGGCACCAAATAAATGGGACGTCATCCTGTAGACAGTTGGTTGATGGGTTAGGTTTCCATGTTCCCACCAAAGGAAAATTAAGGCATCACGGTCTGCTTCTGGTACTTTCACATGAAGAAACATTCCTTCAATGTCTGACATAAGAGCAATCTCATGCTGCCGGAATCTTACTAGCACACCAATGAGACTGTTCGTCAGGTCAGGACCTTGCAGCAACATATCATTCAAGGAAATCCCTTGGAACTTGGCTGCGCAATCAAACACCACTCGAAATTTGTTTGCCTTTTGGGGGTGGTATACACCATGATGTGGTATATACCATATACGTGAGTTGTTCTCATCAGGCTTATCCCCTTTGACCTTTTCCGCATACCCCTTTTCGATCATATTTTCCATAAAGGTTGTATAATCTTTCATAAAGTCTGCGTTTCTTTGCATCTTCGTTCGCAGTGATGAAAGTCTCTTGACGGCCAATGAATAGTTATTAGGCATCAGATGATTTCGGTTTCGGAATGGAAGTGGTATTTCAAATTTACCATCTTTGAACTTCATATTGTCATTAGATAACTTGAGAAATGTGCGGTCATCTTGTGACATTTCCAACTTTTCATTTTTGCCATTCTCCGGAAAATCAATTTGCATTGCCTTTGTCACTGCGTGATTCAGTTTCTTGATTTCTTCCAGCTCCTCAATTGCTGTTACTTCCGCACGGTTGGATGGATAACTGTCAGTCTTGTACTCGTTGCCGTTGCCCTTTCTAACAACATTCCATGGTATCCACCCCAAAGCAGTTCTGGAAGCATATGGACTTCCAGGAGGTCCAGTGACAATTTCCAGTGGGGTATACGCTTCAGCAACATCATTACCTATTAAGAGCCCTATTTCTGCATCGATGTCGGGCAACTGTACTCTTTCCATGTGTGGCCATTCTTCGATATCTTTTTTCCGAGGAATATGAACATGTGAAACAGGCATAGAGCCTTTGGAGTATACATTTGGCAACTCGAGTGTGTGTGTGGCTTCCAGGTTGCTAAGCTCGATGCCCGTCACTATGCGTGTGTCAAGTGTATGGGATGTACCCATAGTGTCCAGGGTAATCCTTGCTTTCCTGCCTCCAAGGCCGAGTTTTTTTCTTAACTCATCAGTACAAAATGAAACGCTGCTGCCAGGGTCCATGAAGGCGTATGTTTCAATGGACAAGCCACTGCGTTTGGACCTTGCTAGGACTGGTACAATGGCCATGGTACAAATTGTATTACCGGCCCTTTGAACTCTCTGGCCTTTCTACCTCAACTCTACAAGCAGGCACTTCATCACGGTGTAAAACTGTCGGATGTCTTTTATGGCACTTTTGACAGGTACCTCTATTTCTGCATTCCTTTGATCTATGTCCGTGCCTCAGGCAACCAAAACACATTCCTGCTTCCTTTACGAGGTTGATGCGGTCTTGAATGGTCTTGGCCAAAAACACACCACATTTGTCTACCCTATGTTCTCCCTTCTTACAAATGGAGCATGTCCGAACTGGATTGGGTGTTACAAATGCATTGTTAGACTGTGCTTTGGTTTCCTTATTGTCGCCAAGTTTTGTAGCATAGATTCCCTTGGCCCTTTGGTTATGAAATGAGCCTCTTTTTCCTGTGTCGGTTGAATTCACAGATAATGCTGCTTTCCCATACGTGGGGTCATTTGCCTTTTTGGCCTCTTTCTTGACAAATTGGGTAAGATCATGAAACTTAACAGTCTTGCCTTCATCTTTGAGTTTGCTTACCAAGGACCTCCACCTGTCATGCAAGTAGTATGGGAGCTTTCTCACAATATTCTTTATGTTTTCTGAGTACTCCATAACTCCTAGCGCGTTGATGCATTTTACGGCACTCTCACACTCACATAAAAAAATGGAAAATACATCCAAAGATTTAGGATTATCGCTCCTGATCGGGGGCCAAGCCAGGGCTTTCTTCATGAAGGCGTTTGCGATGACATCTTGATCTCCATAGCGATCTTCCAGTTCCTTCATTGCTGCTGAATATGCCGTCTTGGAGTCCAAGTAACTAAAGCCAGTAACAACTTTATTAGCCTCGCCCTTTGTAAACTGCTCCAAGTAGTACAGCTTTTCATCATCTGTGTCTGTACACCCTACAACTCGAGCAGTGAATTGCCTCATGAATTTTCGATATTCGATTGGGTCCCCATCGAACTTCGTAATATCGAAAACTGGCTTTCTCAGTTCCTTTACCATAGATGACAGCACTTTATCCATCGGACTGCTAGGAGAACTGGAAACTGGTATTCCATTCGTAGGTAAGTTTGCTGGAGCTGGCATCATAGCATGGTGGTATGTTGATACACCACCAGCCCTTGGAAAATGTGGTGATTCGTTAGCCTGGTAAGGTATAAAACTCTCCGCCTGAACGTTGCAGCCTGTTTGAGTTCGTTGCTGTGATGAGACAATACTGCAGCGAGTAATTCTGCTATTGGTCGAGAGTGCATCTTCACATTCTTCAAGAGCAATTTGCTTGGCTTCCAAAGCTTGCAGTTTTGTCTTCAGGTCAAGTTTAGCTTCCTGCATCCTCAAGTTTAACTTGGCCTGTTCTATTGCCGCCCTTTCCTCTAAGGCAGCCATCTCTGCAGTTATTTCGGCTTGCTTTTCAATTTCTTTTACTTTAGCAGCAGACAGTGACGATCTTTGGCTCTCCTTGGACCGTCGGCTTTTACTGGAGTAATGTGAACGGATTTGTGAAACGCTGTCTGTAGGGTCAACCGATGGTTGTGGCTCTTCCTTGGGAATACCTTCTACCTGAGATTTGAACAGTTTCAGAGCACTGTCGGTTGGATCGAAGTATCGCCAATAATCATAATGTTTATCTTCTTCATTTAGCAGCTTTGTTAGCTCGTCATGCTCAAGTAGAAATGCCTCATAAAGCATGAGCCATGATTTATACTCATCCTGCATCTCCGATCTATCAGTAGCCTCCAGTCCTTCTATTACCACTTGGGCCTTCTTTAATTCTTGAACCAAAGCGTCACGTTTCTTCTTCTTGGTTTTTATCATGTACGCCAATCCCTTTTCGGTCATTACTCTTTCTCTCTTTGCTTCTTCGTCTTTAGATACATCTGTATCTTTACTGATAGTAGGCCTACTCATCCTGATAAGTTCTGTTAATGATATACTGGCAAGCACGACATTTACACACAAACTTGAATTGAGCGCAAATAAACTTTAATTCCACTATCTGAAGATCGATCAGCAATCATGAAAGCACATGAAAGCGAAAAGATTAACTGCAATACAAACAAGCAGAGTAATAAAATAGTAACTCTTATTACTGTATTGGCTAACTTTAGACTACAATTATCATTTTATAGATAAAAACTATAATGATTTATAAGGCTTAGATGTAAAGGCCTATGCATAGTACTTATGCAATAATCAACAATTAATGATTATAAAACAAATTAATCCTACAAATGAAACACAAAGCAAAACATTCTATATAAGTAAACTAATGAATAAACTATGAAGCAAAGCAGGAGC